CAGTCTAGGCTGCGTGACTCCGATAGAGCCACTTAGACACAGCTGTGAACCCATTTTGTGCTGCACTCTCTCTGCTCGATGCCCCAGTTTGGGGGCGGGGCTCTCAGGAGCGCTCTGTATCCCTCTCTCCTGGGGATTAGGCTCTCTGTGCAGAGCAGAAATGTGCACAGCCAAATTCATATGATAGATGTCAAAATAGGAGAGGAATGACAAAGTAAGGAGGGGCAGGAGGCTGTTTGGCTGAGAGAAACCTGAGGTTGTTCCTTCTCCCGTATCTGTTCCATTCACTACTATTGTTTCAGTGAAAAAGAAGGAAGGTGTCTGTTTGCTGGGCTGGTTCATAGGTGCCTGAGTTTAGATTACAAACATCTCCAATCTAAAAGACAAGGGGGCTGTGCATTCTGGGTAAATGTGCTATGGTTCCTTCCTCCCATCAGGAAGACTTAGACAAGCCACACAGACTTCTTTCACAGATTCATCTCCTCATGCCACGTGCAGAGGAAGGAGACAGGGCAAAGTTTCATTAGTGGGATATTAAAGCCTCCAGCTCTTTCAGGAAAGACATTGGAAAGCTGTAGGAAGCATGGATGGGATGAGCCAGCTAAAGACAAGAGACACACTTGTAAGGGATAGATTGCCAGTTCTCATTATGGTCACAATGAACCCCAAGTCTCAACTATTCTATACCATGATATGTCCAAGAAGCCACCTTCTTGTTCACAGAGGTAGTTTAAGTATATACCCTGTAATCTGGGTGTAGGATCTCTGCTGTAATCTGGGTCACATCCCTTATTTGGAACAGGATCTCTGCTTTTCTAAGATATGAAGTACACTGGCTCTGTCAAGGCTTTACAAATTTTCAATCAGAGAGCCCAAATTAAAATGTTTTCGAAGTATGACTAAAGTTGGAAGCTGGGATGCATGATTGTTAAATTCTATTTTTTAACATATCAAAAAAAAAAAAGAGAGAGAGAGAACTCCATATGCTTTTACCAGCTCATTGAACTGTGTTGGCAATGAGCAGAGCAGTATATATCTAGGAATGACTGATACCATATGATTCTTGAATATCATATTTTGATAATGTTCTGTAGTATTTCAAACCAACAAAACAGAACACAGGCACACATGCACGAGAGAGAGAGAGAGAGAGAGAGAGAGAGAGAGAGAGAGAGAGAGGAGAGAGAGAGAGGAAGGAAAGGAGGGCGGGAGGGAGGGAGGGGGGGGAGGGAGGGAGGGATGAATGGAGAGCGCTCAAAACCGGCAGTTTCTGTTTTGACGGCTGCACTTGGCATTCAAACATTATCATTAAAATTTTACAGGTGACATAAGATGAAGCACTGTATCAAGCAGTTGTGTTGCCTTCAAAGGCAAACATTTTCTCATTATAATGAATGAAATCATGGTCTGAGCAGGAATGTTAGTGACCTCTAGTAAATGAACCACTGACCCATAGATAGATGAGAATCAGCCTGAGTAAATGAGGCAGAAGTTTTCCCAGCGTAACTTTGCATGCTAACAGGGCCGATTCTTAGTAGAACGAGCCGAGATAGCACAGTCGGTAGGGAACACGTCATGGAAACAAACATGGCTGAGCTGCCAAACTCCTCTTCCTCGTCCTTCTTCATTCTCATCTTACACCAGATGCAGAGGCTTGGAAAGTGACACAGCATTGCACAGAAAAACCACACACATAGACTTGTCCAGCAGAGCCACGCAAAAGGTCATTTGAAATATTGACATTGCCAATAGTCAATTTATTCAGGGTATCAGGGTAAACCACCGTCTGAATCTATGGTGCACAATGAAGCAGTGTTAAAGCAAGCACTTGAAATGTGGCCAGTCCTAATTAGGTGTGCTATGTAAACATCCACTAGGATTCGGCTGTGCAAAAGAAGTAGAAAGATATAAAACATTTCAATGACTTTTATACGGATTATATGAATTATCTGTTTACACAATAGTATTCTGGATGCCCTAGTTAAAGAAAATTATGAAGGGATGCTTTTTTTTTTTTTTTTTTTTTTGCTAATGTGGCTATCAGGACTTACTTTGTAACTCTATCAGTCAATGATGATCTAAGCAAAAAGTCAAGACTGAGGCTCAGTATTTGCCGACCGTGTGCAAGGCCTAGAGTTTAATCCCCAGCGTAAGAAAAAGTCTAGACAAGCAGGTAGAAATCCAAAAGAATTGAAATAGGAATCTCTAGCAGCTGATGGTACCATGACAACTAGCCGCAAAGCGATTGATACTTTGATAAGTTATTGTTTCCATACCTCCTCTCCAGGAGTGCTTTTCTAAATCCCAATATTTGCTTGACAACTTTCTAAAGGAGCTCTGAGAAACGGGGGACACTCTGGGAATGGTTGTGTTCAGATTTTTATTTGGACTTTAGAAACAGGGGACAGAGTCACATCTCTGCAGGCTCTGGAGGCCACCAGCACTGCTCAACAGGAGCTTCTGTTGAGATGCCAGGGTGAAGCCACTTACTGTTTTATAATAACTTAACCACTTAACCATCGAGAGCACCTATCAGAAGGCTCTCTTCTTAGAAGCAAGTTGATGAAACACTCTTGACTGGGTACAGAGGGCATCTTGAATGAGACCACATGACCCATACGCTACACTGTGATGGGGGTGGGAGTGTGAACTTCGGAAGTGCCGAGTGTTTCAAAAGCGTGTTCACAGGGAGTGTCAACACTCAGAGGGATGCGTGTTTAAGTGAATTAACAGTGTGCTTTTTGGAGAATTCCATGGAGGTTATTTATTGTACACTTTTCCTAATATTCCTTCTTTTACTGAAATAGATTTGAATTTTATTTATTTACTGCTTAGGCAGAAGAAAAAGACATCATCCGTCTATTTCTCTGAAATTCATCAAAATAAATGAAGTTTTAACACGTGTGTTTCCACGTTATATTTGTGTATATACTTAATAAGTATATTGTAGGGTATAGAAAGGGCTGTCATCACAGAGCAAGCAAAAATGTAAGCGTCCCTTCACTATGCTGGGGAGAAATGTACAGGCCAGCCAGGAGATCAAAGCAATTTGTAAGATGACTTTGGTATAACAGAAACCCTGCTCGGCTCTGCTAGTCCTCATAGAGGGCCGGCAAATGAGGACTTGATTAGAATAACTTCCCAGGTAAGGCCACCGCGAGAGACAGCTACGAAAAGGAGACCCCGAACCGTAAGAAGAACGCGTACAGCTGTGGGCCCCGAAGGAAAGCAAGGCAAAGCATATGGAGAACCACTTACGCAGTACGTGCTAAGAAAACAGCGTGCTATTGTTTTGAAACACGTGCTGCGGCAGAAGTCACGTCTACCCCTCCTTCATTGTCAGAAACACAAGGCCTCCGGATCATTCCCCGTCATTTCCCGCTTTTGTCTGAATTCCTTTGTGAGAAGCTTTATTCAGTCCGTGGTTGCCGGTGACTCAGGCTGAAATTATCTCACTCATCTAATTTCCTCTTTTATTATTATTATTTTTAATACAGTTGCAAATCACACAGTATTGGGCTTTGTTCGCCCTCTGACCCCCCCACACCCCCACCCCCCACCTCCAAGGTGCGCAACCCTCACAGCCCCATTATCTTAATGAACGAAAGCCGTTCGGAGAAAGTAGCTGTATCCAGTTCATCAAATCCAGCCGCTGATAATTTCTGGAAAAACTGAAGACTAATCCTCAGGGGATTTTCTGGGGCCCTATGAAAATTCCTGTCACTCTGTAGTGTACGTGGGCTGGAGGTTGGTGCCAAGTGGCTGCTTACAAGATACACGGAATGTTGCAGAAATATAAATGGGTCAGGGCTGAAATTTAATTAGACACTGCATATGTTAATAATAAATTCAATTAATTTCACCTTCTGCCTATACTAGAGGAGAAAAGAAGCTCAGGCAAAAAATAATAATTCATCTTAAATGCCTCAACTGGGAGCCCCTTTCCTGAAGTGTAATTTACTGACTGTGTCTTCATAAGATTGCTCCGAACCAGCCCTTTGAAATAATAACAACTTCTGGATGTGTGTAGCGAGAGATACAGCAAAGGACTGCTTATTAATTTTCATTTAATGAGCTGCCCATTCTCATGGTAATTTTTAAAAACTTCTCAAGATAAACATGTTACAAATGCTGTGGCTAACACTTCCATTTGGCAAAAATCGCGACACACGATCTCTCCTGTCCCTACCTGAGTTGAAGGTCAGCCTGCTGCTGGTTTTCCGTACACTTGGCATGCATTTATGACAGTTATCTCGTCAGATCGTTTGAAAACGTTTGTAGCCAAGTAATTCCAAATTGGATGAAGAGGAAAAGAGACTAATTCTCAACAGCAAGGGTTTTAGTGGCAGGGCAAGAAGCAGAGTCACGGGAAAAGGGAAAAGCAAGAAAACGGGGCCTTTTGTAAAGGACAAAAGGCATGAAGATTGTTCCTTTCAGGGGCCCCATTTTCTCAAGCACCCTTTGTATCTAACAAAGATGCTACGCCATCTTGCATAATTAGTAATACTTGGGAATCTTAAGGATCATACTTTTATTTTCAAAGAGATCGATTAGATAGATAGATAGATAGATAGACAGATAGATAGATAGAGAGCCATGATGTGAATGGAGGGCAGAGGCTGACTTGGGGAGCTTGGTTTTCTGTTCCCATCATGCAGGTGCCAAGGATAGAACTCAGATCAACCGTCTTGGCATCATATACCTTAATGCTGAGTCATCCTGCCAGCCCTTTTTAAAGGTTAAGCTTTCAAAGAGCTTAACTTCGTAATAACTAATTATTTGTGACCATAATAAAAATAACAAGAATGACAACTTAATAAGAATAAAAAAAAAGTAAGAATCAAGGGAGAAGAAGTTGCTTAGAGCCTTAGGTATTTCAAATGGCCCATGGTGGTTTGAATAGTCCTGTAATAGACAGAGCAAGAGCCTCTACACGTCTTTGCAAGAGCAGAAGCAGTGTCCAGAAAGCATTGAATAATCCAGGCGCAACTGCTACTCACATGAGAACCGGAAAGGCCTTGCTCCTAACCCACACTGCCTTACGCCTTCTCCGTGGAAAAGCCCATATTGCATCTCGCCCATGAACTTGGTCAGCTCCTCCCCTGAGGCGTTGACAAGCAGAGCCCCCGTTTTGCAGAGGATAGTGGCTTTGATCCATAGTGGGGTCCCCACTGCTGTCACGACTCCGAGAGCACAGAGGAAGCTCAACACCCCGGCCATACAAAAGATGATTTTCTTCTGCTGGTTCGGCATGACGAGAAATGGCTTTGGTGAGGATGCAGTTCAAAGCCAAGACCTTTGTGAGCATCAACTGTCCCTTCCGCATTTATGACAGGAGATGAAGGGAGTAGCTGGAAAAGCAATGTCCCTCCTCACGGCGGCTCCACCAGGCGGAATGCCAGTCCTCTTCCTCACCCGCTGTGGTCTTTGCTCCTCTTCTGCTGCTTCTCTTCAAATAGAAATCTTTGGGTTAAGAATTTGTAGAACAAAAACTCTTTCAAAGTGCCTTCAAGATCCCCTCTCGCGCTGCTTGCTAAGAAAGGTCTAGGGTAACAAACAGATGGAGTCCTCTGTGTAACTTGAGAGAAGCCTCCCTTCCTCAGCCTGTTGTCTGATTGGCTGAGCTGAAGCCTACAGAAACAGGCTTGGCTCCTAGGGCTAAGTTTGCAGCAACGTGAGACGTTCATAAATTGACGAGACTTCATTTCTGGGTTTTGTTTGCTCTTAGCAGTGGGAGAATGGGAGCGTTGGCCCAGGTAATGGTAGTTAATTGATTTTGAAAATGTTTAATTTTAGTCAGATAAAACATGGCAGACACTGGGTCTTGTGTAGACACGAGATCCCAGAGCTACACAGGCCTTGTCCTCCTCACCCCCAGTTCTCCCGGACCCACATTTTCCGTGGGATCTACTTAGGGAAAACGTGGTTCAAATTCTTCTTGACGCAGAGAAACACAGAGATGCGGTTGCGAGAGGACATTTATAAATGAGTTCATTTAAAGCATTTGGCGCTATTAGTAGGACAGCAAGGGAACGTGGCTGTGGAGCTGCAGAATCTACAAAGATGAGAGAGAGCCCTGACATGGAAAGAAATGCTGTGGTCAGACAGATCCAGCGCTGACCAGCTGGTCTCCCAGAGAAAATACCCATCTGAGAGACAAGAGACATGACTGAACAATATCAAGTAGCAAAGTGTATTTGGTTTAGAACTTCAGACTTGAAAACTCAAGTGTGGAGTCCAGTGACTTCCTCTTAGCTCCAGGTGCCTAGTGAGGTTCCTCCAGGGGAACAAAATCAAATCTAATAGCCCCCCCCCCCCGCCAAGAAAAAGAGATTGTTGTTGACTCCGTATATCATCCTATGCTGGGCTCTTGTTTTTGGTACAAGCGTGACTCACTCTTCTAAGCATTCCATCAACATTGCATTATTAACTCTTACAAGTATTATAATGAGAGTGTGCTGCTGTTGCTGTTACTAATGTCATTCTATTATACAGATAGAGAAATTGAGGCCAGAGAGGCTGAACAAGTTACTGAAGGTACTAGCAGAGTTCTGTGGTTGGTATGCTATTCTAAGGAGAAGAACTGGCATATAAAATCCACATGGGCACTCAAAACAAGGTTTTAAAATATAATGAAGGCCTTGTCTTGTATGTAATTTGACACATACCAAAAAACTCCTTTCAGATAATTGGGCTCTCCAGTGAATTCTCTACTAGATGCAGTCGTCACAGCCAAACGAGGGGAACACAATAATGCAGTTAGTTTCCTGACAGTTACCCGGGGATATGTGTCCCATGCATCCCAGAAATGCCAGATGGCAGTTACCTGAGAATGTGTGCTCCACACATCCCAGAAATGTTAGTTTGAGAGTATCTAGATATAATCCAGCTTATTTGATCAACATATTTGGTAACTGAAGGGGGAAAAGAAGCAAACAAAAAACCAGAATACCCCTAAAGCCTGGGAAAAGAAGTTTCAACCTAATCAATTGTATTACTACTTCCTTAGGAAGAATGTGGAAGGAAGGAACAGAGTAGTTAGCATAGGACAGTGGTTAAATTAGAGAAAAACCTGCCAAAGGTGTCTAAAGTCTACCAACGTGGAAGACTCTGCTCAAGGATGGAGAAAATGATCTGGTTGTTTAACCTTTTAGGATTGCCTCCGTCTACCGCGAAGAGCACCCTGTTTGTAGAGATACAGGAAGATAAATACGACAGAGTGAGGTAATTCCTCACCCCCAAATCACATCCTTCCTACCACACCTTAAAATTTCCTCTCTTTAGTAAACAGCGACAGTAAAAATGTTTGTCTCTCCTGAACACAAGTAGATACTCACCTGAAGTCAGCTTCGTTCTAATCAAGGGGTGCTCGCTCTGTTTGCCTGCCCAATGAAATCCCTTGCAGAGGTGTTTAGAGCACTGTGTCTGCCCCTCCGCTAAGGCTCAGCCGCATTTGCTTTTCGTGTGGCCTTAGCACCGAATCGCCCGATGATTGCAGCATGCAGCCACGGCTGCACGCTACTGCCCTCATTCAGTCCCTGCATAACTTGCCTCTGATCGTTAGCCAGGCTTCTCAGGGCTGGAGAGCACAGATGACTGTCCTCATCCTGGTTGCTAGGGAGGGATACTGTTGTGAGAAATTAATGAGCAGGCGCTGAGAGTTAGAGCTCCAGCCTCCGCAGATTCCTTCAGCACCGTGTGTATGGCTTCCTCTAACTGTCCCCATAGGTAGGGTGAGATGGAGCTACCCCTAGTTACTCTCTGTAGATCAGTAGTGATGGGTCCTGGTCATGGGAGGCAGCTCCCCTTGGGACCCACACCCACCTCACCTCTTCCCTGGGCAGATTCCTTTCAAACTTGAATGTCAGCCACCCACAGACTGCATAGTAGTGTGTGATCCGCCCTCTGAGGATGATAGAATGGAACCTGGCAGTCATTATGCTGACAGCCTTCTTTGGAAATTTCATCTTAAATGGCTTGAATGACAGCGATGACACCGTCTTCCTTACAGTCTCTCTGAGAATTTGAGTCATTAATGTCAGCAAGTTTTCAGCAAGAATCCCAGTGAAACCTTCCCTTCTTTTCATCTTAACATTTGGTGACATTAAGGAAATGGAACCAGGCCTAGCCCCCCCCCCCCCTCCACCCCGTGACCCTTGGCAGGGCCCGGATAATCATAGAATTTTTCAGAGTGACTGAAGAACCAGAGAGGAAGGGACACAGTTGTAGACCAGTTTTGCTTCCAATACAAGCATTCATGTTTCTTTTCTTGATAATTCAGTTGCATTCTTCTTATTATTATTACAATTTGGAGAGAGGGGGAGAGAGAAGAGAGGGAGGGAGGAGAAAGAGAGAGAGAAACAGAGAGAGATAAAGAGAGAGAGAAGAGAGAAAGAAAGAAAGAAAGAAAGAAAGAAAGAAAGAAAGAAAGAAAGAAAGAAAGAAAGAAAGGAAGAAAGGAAGAAAGGAAGATGGGGAAAAAAATAAGGATCAAATACTCACCATGTTTGCTCCCCGGTATAAAGCACAGAGTAGCCTGGGTTGTAGAAGAAAGACTTTGGGTTCCCCATTAAACTGATAATTTTCTCTGACATTCATTTTGTAGATTTATGAACATGGTGGCCTGGCCCACACTGGTGGTGCTCACATGATTTCTAAGCAGGAAAACTATGTTCATTTGCATGAAATAACAATGAAGAGGGAGCTGCTAGGCTGTAAGGGTGGCAATGAAGGAAGCCTCTGTCCCAGCCTCATGCTGCACACTCCCTGGAGCACCCCACTCCTGGTGCAGGAGAATTATCCGTATTCTGTCAATCATGTATTTTAATAAAACGCTGATTGGCCAGGCAGGAAGTATAGGCGGGTCAACCAGACAGGAAGTAGAGGCGGGGCAATGAGAATAGGATAAGGCTAGGGAGGAGAAAACTCCCTCAGCCACTCCTGCACAGACCACCGAAGAGGCAACATGTAAGCTGTCACACTGAGAAAGGTACTGAGCCCATGTGGCTAAAATAGATAAGGATAATGGGGTAATATATGTTATAAGAGCTAATAAGTAGCCTGACCAAATGGGCCAATCAGTTTATAACCTTATGGAGTCCTGTGTGTAATTTCTCTTTGGGATTTGCCGGCTGTTGGGGTACCGGGCGGGACGGAAACCCCAACAAGCCGGCCCTCATGTTACACACTCCAGCTTTGGAAAGAACACAGTGGATGTTAATTCTCTCTGGGGCTAAAATGTGTTCTCTTGCTTATTTGCCTTCTTTCTTTCCTGTCCTAACCGGTGATCTATAGAAGCATATCACACTACCTAGGTGCCCTGCACAGATGGCTGTTCAGATTATTAATTTGTTGATTAATGCAAGGTTCTGCATTTTTATCTGATTTCTCATTGGTAGCATTGATTTCTGTTTTCTTCCATATGGCTCATAATGATCTAGGACTTCTCTAAGAGAAATTCAATGAGGGTCTGAGAAACGTACTATTCTAAGACAGGAGGCCTTTGTAAATCTACCCTATTTTTCTCATCGTTAAAGGAAACTCTCCCAAGATTGATTGACATTCCTTGACTAATTCAAGTTGCTGGTGATCGTCAAGTCGCATTGTAATTCTCTAATGACTGTAAGGGGGAAAAACACTTCATAGAAAGAACTGATTGATTTATTAGAGGGAAAATTACCACATGTGCTAGACCTTGATTGCAGCTAATATTTGTAGTGCTAATTGCCTGAACTAGAGGATTAAAAGGATGGAGGGGAGGGAAGGATAAGAAAGCAAAGTTCTCCTGGAATACTGATGACTCTGCAGTGGATTCAGGCAGAGAGGAAAAACCCAAGAGTAGGGACTCTTAGGGTTACTGGTGTGGGGCATTGAGAAAGAACCAGACATAACACACATGCCGCATGCTACGGAAAAGCAGCAGGGATGGAGGCAAGGTGCCTCCATGGGGTCTGCCAAAGAAAATCCCAGGGCACCATGAGACTTATCTTGGTTTCTTGTTGACATGTCATACCAAGGCTATGTTGGCATTCACAGCCATAACCCAGGATTAAAGATATCCCTCATCATGGGTGACCTATTTGGAGAGCTCAAGGCCCTGCATGAGATCCTTAGCCCTGCCAACAAAATGGAGCAATGACAACAAAAACAACCTCCTAACCCAGCGGGTCTGGGGAAATGTCTGAGTGAGCTAATTATGATGAGGTCCGACAGTTACTCAAAGAGTCAATGTAGTTTGAGATGCTTCTGTCAACAATAATAAACCAGATTACCAGTACATGGAAATAGGTAATGATCTCCTGTCTTATTTAAGGCTACTATTGCTATGCAAAGACACCATGACCAAAGCAACTCTTATAAGAGAAATCATTTAGTTGGGACTGGTTTGTGGTTTCAGAGCTTTAGTCCATTATCATCATGACGGG